CCACCGCCTCCTCCTCGGCCTACCGTGCTCAGATCAGCTGATCATAGCTGATCTCTTAAGGCATGCATGTCTCTCCCTGACAGGACGGTAAAAACTTGAAAAGTTCATATGTACAATAGAATTTTTGATATTCAAACCTGAAATTTCGTGCAAATTGGCTCTTATCAAGCACTTCCGTTAACCATGCTATAAATAAACACCATGGAGCTTGTTAATAATTACTAGAATGTTAGTGGTACCCAACGGTGGGTGCCACTGTCACCAAAGGGTTAACGAGGTTGACTTCTATGGCAACCCCATTTTCTCAGCATGATGAAATCAAAATAACAAAAGCAAAATCCATACATTCAGGTTTACCTTATCGCAAAGCTAACCGATAGTCCGACTGCCAGTGGGTCCAGATCAGGAAGGCTCAGCATACACAAACTTCAGCTCACAGATGTACAGGATGTCAATGCGTGCTAAAGGCTTAACACAGGACTCCAAATTCGGACTCACAGCAAACGTACGTCCTACAATGGAAGCGATCTTTTTTCCGGACCTCTCAGCGCGTCTTTCTGGACTAATGTCTATATCTCAGCATTTGAACGCGCTATTGTTTTATTTTTTTTTTGTACAGCTGTGTATGTGACACTTGAAATTTTACTCGTACTAATTGCAGAGTGCAAATAAGAAATGATACAGGTGTTATCTCTAATTCATTTGCAATTAATTTAAAATAAATTATTTAAAATTATGGTTGGATAAGCACAGATCAACAGTCATTACTAAAAAAGGACTTCAAAAAAGAGGGATACCATCGGAAGAAGAAGACCAGTACAGCGCACGGCGTGCTTAAGAACAACTTTCCCTAAAGAAGAGCATCCACGAATCACTTCAGATGAAATCAGTTTGACTTGGTTAACACCTCTTTTAATAACCAAAACAGGAAACACATGTAACCAACTACAATAATAAAAAAACCATCCAACGAAGAGGCATCGATCCAAGGGTGCAGCAATGTTACATTTGACAATCTACGATACCGCGAAGAAAAGAGGCAAAGATTGTATCAACGGGAAGCGCACAAAAAGTGATATCATTCAACATGCTTATGCAAATACATAACGGATGTAAGGGACTTCTACATCAGCGTCGGTGTTCGGGTCGGTAGCCATCACCTCCAAAACCAAAGAGCGCTGATAGGGCGGGACCTGTCGCTTCGATACATCCTCCACAACCGCCTTCACACTGAAATTCGTGAAGATGAGTAACAAAACGATCACCTTTCATAAACTTAACAACACACATCAACACTATAATTTAACACTGTTCAAGATTAATGACTGTTCAAGGTAATAATTGTCCAATCAAAATATTTAATTGTGAGTCACTATAGCGATACAGAGAAAATCACAAACATCTGGTTTTCCAAAATTCAACAAAACGATCTTCACTTACTGTAGTTTAAAACGTGGCGGTATTTCTTCAAACGCGATCAGCGATGCTCAGGACCAATTGAACAGCTGGAAACCATGCAAAATGACTACCTACCATGATAGCTAAATGAAGCATCATACTGAGCGCTGCATCATCCCATGTTAGACTATTTTTTCGCAATTCATAAATTTGCAGTAAGGTACCTAACTGCAACAAAGATATCTCATGACTATGTAGCATCATCCATGAACTTCCTTTAAGTTTACTCTCGTTGCGGAAGGTCAGAACAGAGAGGAAGTTGGAACCGACAGCCGTTCGACGCGATTACAGAAGGGAGATCCGTGGACCAATTACAGAGTGCTACAAGGGTCGATGGTGCGAGGCCACTGCAGTCATGCGCGCTATTAATGCGAGAGATCGCGGACGACGGCAGCACAGTAACGTAAATAAAAACAGAGTTTAGTGGTCCAGTCGTAAAAAAGACCTTATGGCCATCACGTTACGCGCATTCGGTTTGAATGACTACTAAAAAGGGAATTAATTTCTCTCACTCGAACTTTTTTGCATGGTCCCATGTAATATCTGAAACATGAATGAGAACAGGTGATGAAACAAGTTTTAGACCACAATACACGATTACGAATTGAAGATGGGAGACTTCACGTTGAAATATATTATACGGAATAAACTTAATGACAAAGGAGGATAACGAAAATAGAGACAACAGTTTCCAAAACGTTACAGCAAAAAAAAAAGACAAAAAGCAGCATTCTATTAGAAAAACATCCATTTAGCACTTCATGACGGCGCCCTTTTATTCGCTTTTTTGTCGCGGCACACGCGATTTTGCGAGCGTCTCCGCCTCACCTCACATCAGTGGATTTTGTGTTGAAAATGGACGAACACATGAATAGTACGAAGTTAGTTTAGTAGTAATCGAATATCCGGGCTGACTCATCTAGAGGCATTGTTGCGGAATTTTGATTAAAAGGGCTTGTAATGGTAATAAGACAAAATTTACTGAAATGAAGACTCAAAATCATGTTTGGTTCAATTGTTTTAGCGAAAGAAGTATCTTGCCATCCAAACTCCACATTTACTTCTAGCACTCTTTTCACTCACATTTTATGTTAATAAATAAAGAATGCACAATCGGAAGTTTAGTTCGGCCCGGAAAACATTAAAAATAAAGCACATCAATTCTTCAGTGAATCATGGCGTTTAAAGCTATATAATGGTCCATAACTATTTTTTGGTATCAAACATATCCAAATGATTGCGATATAACCAATTATAAGGCGATTTTCAGCAGGCTGCCATCGTCGCATGAGCTCGCATCGCTAACAGATCATGCCGGCATGAATGAGTTAAAGTCATCGAACGTATTGTAAAAGAAGAACTTACTCCATAGGCATACGATGAGCACGTTTTTTGGCATCCATGAAGAACGAGTAAATCAATGAAACACCAGATGACAGCATAGTGACTTCAAGTCCAGTTTCATTCTAGAAAAAGCAACATGAACAATGGGGCGTCACTGTATTAATGTTACCACAACACAACGATGAATTCATTAACCATCAAAATGACACCTACAATTGAAACAACGACATAGAGGGAAACCAAAAAATTCAAATTCCCCGAATTTCATATCAACTAACTTAACAAGTGTTTGACGAAAAGAACAGAGAACACAAATAAAAGATATCTTTTGTAAATGCTAAAAAAGCAGAGCTAGACCATTTGCAAGACACGAAATGTATACGCAGTGCTCAACTCAAGTACCTTGGGTTCGAACGCAGATAGATATTTGTAGGAGAAGCTGTGCTATAATTTAGGCATATTGATAAGATACCACTATATCATTTGAAACACTAGCAGAACATGCAGTATGGAGGCAGCATTCATACTTCGCGCCAGACGGTCTATTCGCAGTTTGAAAAAAACCTAACCTCGAATAGTACAAGAGCAGGGCAGGACAAAGGAGGAGGGTAAAAACGATGGTCTCAAGTACGCTCTCGGGTCACCTAAATGCAAGTAAAGACCTGTAAGAAAGGCCCCTGGGCATACCAGCAGAATAGACCGCCTGCACTCAAAGCGAGATTGTGCGAAATTGGCGCGGCAGAATTTCCAGAATTCATGACATAGAAGGAATACGAATAGCAACCTAATTCTCTCAACTT